ACCTAGGCAGAGCTATAAACATGGACTTGTTGCTCGCTGCTCTTGTCGGAAGGAAAGCATCAGATTTGCGTCTGCTGACGCAGCTCTTTCCTAGTGATGCCGAGTGCCCCTGTCGCCTGGGGACCGATGGGGCCTTGGGGGAGGAGGCTGAGCGCCGGGCGTGGCAGACGGCAAGCCGCTGCTTGGGCACACACTGACTGTGTGCTAAGCACCAGCCCCGATCCCAGGGCTGTACCCTTCCCCCAGCCCAGTGAGGCAGTCCCATCATCCAGCGCATTCTACAGATGATGCAGAGATACACGAAGTGACTCGCCCAAGGTCACACGGTGCAGAAGCCCTCAAAGCCAGACAGCCAGCTCTGAGAATACCGAGGAACCACAGTGCTGCTGCGCAAATGAGCTGCATTTAATTGAATGGAAAGTTGGAAAAGTGGCAGCCTTGAAAGGAGGCAGGAAATGATTTGACTTCATTATAATCATCTCCAGAATCAAAACCGATTTGCTGAATTGTCCCCCCTCCACCTCGCAGTGCTGGGCAGCATTTCCATGAGGACAGAGAGACAAACATCTCTCTGCACACCCTCCCTGAGTCCACCTGCCGGGCACTGAGAAGCACCTCAGGGATTGCGAGAGAGAACAAGGGCTCCATCCCAGAGGTCAGCTCGAGACCCCAGAAACTGAACCCCAGCAGCCCTGCCCCATCGCTCAGCCCGGCCCTAGACTGGGCCCCCATGCAGGAGTGGAGGCAGGCCGACTCCAGGGTTCACCCAGCGTGACTCATCCATTTCAACCTGGCAAAGAGTGCTTCTGTGGGTTCTACCTGTCCTAACACGGAGCTGGTGCTCAGCTCGGTCCACAACTCAGGCATTAAAAAGGTAAGTTTTAATAACTTAATGTCATGTCTATTTTGAAGCCACATTCTTTCCGGGTGGCAGAAACTCGGTCGTGGGGTCTCCACCTTTGCCTCACCCGTGGCCACGGTCTCGGGATTCTTCGGTTCTAAGACATGGTAGGGGAGCGGCCGGCAAGCTTTGATGCCAGGCGTCTGTGCAGACAGCCTCTGATATGTCACTCAGTCCCCCTACCTGGTCCTCACACATCTTGGGCCCAAGCCACCCTGGACACCCTTGGGGTCCACTCTTTCAGCCCCTTTCAGGTGTCAAGAGACCAAGGATAGATCTCCTCCTCCTGGCCCCCTCCCCCACCATCATGAGTGTGAAACGTCCGCACAGACTTGTTCTCTCCACTCTTTGGCAGGGCCCTAAGTGTTTCTGTTCCCCCACGGCTATAAGAAAACAGAACAATATCCTGGGTAAGCCTAACATCTGGAAGGACATCACAGAAACCCAACAACAGAGGCTTGGCCAAATAGAAATTTATTGTGAGACACAACCAAAAAATCAGGCACAGTGCTCAGAGGTGCAGTCAAGCAACCGGGCAGGCTCTTCCTAGCCTCCAGCCAGGCCCCTGTTTACCAATGACAGCTGCCCCATGGGCATCCCACACCAGGTGAGCAGGACAACGCCGGCCAGGAAAGAAGGGGTCTGTGTTTCACACTCAGCACTGGGGGCATCTGCCCATTCCAATCTGTAGGGTGGTGGGAAGGTGAGCTTTGGGTGTCTAGCCTCCATCACAGGAAAGAGCCAGTTAGGAGAGGCTTGAGGAGGCCAACCTAAAGAATCCGCCACGACCAGGGGAAGCCTTTTTTTCATGGTCACTTCCCTTCCCCAAAAACAAGTGGGCACTGGCCTAGTTGCTTGGATGAGGTAAAAGTGAAAAGAAAAATACTAGAGGTAAAAGGTTGGCTAACGCTTCATAAACTATTATCCCACCTCATGGGGTCAAGAGCACCTTGGTCTGGGTAGATGCCCAGAGGAAGTTCAAATGCTACTGAGATCTACAGGATCAGATTGAGTCACCGAGACATTTGAGGCCCTCGCTCAAACCCCTGCACTCCCAGTCTGCGTGACCTAAGCCAAGGGCTTCTGTTCTTCCATCTCTACCCTGGCTTGTGCAAGAGACCCAGAAGGCGCTTAGTGAATGGATATTGAGCCAAAGAAAGTCCCAAGTTTGTGAACTGTGGAGGCTCGGCCAGAATGTAGCAGGGACGTTTCCTAACATGTACGACACCAGAAGACCCAGTCACTGAGGGAGAACCTACAAAGGCCGAGCCTTTTAATGCCAACGGTGCTCCCCAGCTCCTTGGGTGGCCTGGAAGGATCAGCTCAAGGCTCAGTGCACCTGCAGAGGTCCAAGGACCCCCCCTCCCCTCGAGTACAGCTTCAAAATCATTTTGACCACCATAAAGAAAGGCTGGCCCACCTGAGGCTCAACTGTAGGTCTGCTACGCTACAACTTCAGGAAAGTTCCTTTGAACTGAGCCTTGTCTATCAGTAAAACGAACACTGTACTATCTACCTTGCAGGGTTCTTGTGAAGATGGCAGGTAATGGATGTAAAAGCACCTGTCCTCTGGCCTTCTTAGCCCATGGTAATAGCTCTTCTTGCAGAAGATCCTGGGGTCTTAGATGGGACCAGGAGTAGAACTCTGCGTGCTCAACCTGGGTAGATCTCCTCCAGGCCAGGAGGTGCTCCAGAATTGGGTTTGGTTGGTTGGTTGTTCTGAGCAGGAAAGATGGTGATAGGGCAGGATGGCTGAAAATACACCCCCAATCTCACGTGGCCAATTGGTACTGGCCTATAGGAATCCTCGACTGACCTCAATTCTGCATAAAACTGTGGATATTTATGTGCCATGACGTGGGGTGGCATTTTGATCTCTACCATACAGTAACACCATTTGCAAACTGATTCAGTCTTTGGAGCTCTGGGGGGCACTTTTAGCACTAACATGTGCTCCTACATAGTCATCCGTACACAAGTGTGAGAGGCACTGTAACCAAAATTATGCTTAGTACAACTAAAAGTGATGTGCTTGGCAAAAAATAAAACAAAAACAATCTCTGGCTACATTAAGTGACATAAGAACCAAGGAGGAAAGACCCCTGTGTGTTTGAGGAGACCATACCTGAAGTCACAGTGTATTCTGTGAGCTTCCCTATGGGGAGACAAACTGCAGCATGTCCAGAGGAGGGACAGGGACGGCCACCAGCCACAAAGAGAAAACTCCTCCACTAGGGCCAGAGTTGAAGAAACGGGGCATCCTCTGCTTGGTAGAGGGAAAAAAGGATAAAAACTGTCTTCAGATATTTGGAGAGAGCTTTCATGTGCAAGAATGAGTTTTAGGTTATGTGCCTCAGGAAGTAAAACTAGAGCCACTCGTGGAGTCGTCCATGAAGGCGGGTTTTGACTCAACTGAAGGAAAGGATTTCAGTCACCGAATCTGAAGATGAGACGGGCAACCCTGAGCAACAGTGAGTTCCAGAAGCTCATGCTATTCAAGATTGGAGAATGAGTGCCTGCTGAGGAGATCATACCAGACCTGCCTCATGGGGCTGTGGTGAGAACCAAGGAGATCATTGTTTCCAACCCCCTTATATGCCACCTCTCAGTCAGTGACTTGGCCACACAGCTCTGGACTCTCCACTGCTTGCTTCACCCAACTTCCAGGCCACAGACTTCAGTATGCACAACCCAATGGAGCCCCTTCTCATGTCTGCTTGGCTGGCCTCTGCCCTCCTTTCCTGGAGCTTCCCCTGAAGCATGAGATACTCCAGAGAAATTCTGCACCCAACCACACTCAACCCAGAGGTAAGAGGGGGACATAACGGGCAGTTAATGTTCCATGAGGAAAACCGTTCACCAATCAGTGGTTGGAAGTAGCAAATAAATTCTTTTGCTGTCCTTCCTCTATTAGTCTCCCCTGAGACCTCACAGCTTCTGCTCTGGGAGGATGGTCCCTGCATTCGTTTCCCATGGCTGCTATACCAAATTACCACAAACATGGTGGCTTGAAGCAACAGGGATATACGACTGCAGAAGTCTGCAGTCAGTATGGCGGAGACGCCGGCAGGGGCTGTGAGGCCTCCAGAGGCTCCAGGGGAGGGTCCCGTCCTCACCTCTTCCAGCTTCCGGTGACTGCCCACATTCCTTGGCTTGTGACCCCATCACTCCAAGCCCCACCTCCACAGTCACCCTGCCCCCTCTTCTGTCATTTGTACTTCTGCCTGTGCCTCCATCTTCTAAAGACATCTGCAATTGGATTTCGGACCTACCCAGATAATCCAAGGCAATCCCTCCATCCCAAGATCCTTAATCACATCTGCAAAGTCTTTGGCACAGAGGTAACATCCCCAGGTTCTAGGAATCAGGATGCGGACACTTCTTTGGAGGGCCGCTATCTAGCCTACCACTATCCCAAGGATGGAGCAGTCGGTTATGCTTCACGCCAAGTTGGGGCCACATCAATAACACACCGCTGTATTTGCTCCTTTCATCTCAGCCTGACCACCATTCTCCCCAACCATCCCACTCTGGGACTGAACTCTTCGCGAGAGAGATAGCACATGGGTTTTCTTCCAGTTCTCCTTTCTGGGGAAGCCAAAGTAATACCTGTAAGCCCTGGAGAACACTGCCCACAGTAATGGCAGGAATGGTGGCTGGAGTAATGCAATAACAGTTCCCACAGTTTGCAAGATTTCACTTGTTTTCCCAGAGCATTCTCTAATCATTTAAAAATAGGCTCTACTCTGAGGAAAGGGAGGTCATCTATTTCAGTGAAATTTTACACTGTGTTCAAAGACTTATTTCCCCTCTACAAAACATTTCCTGCATGGTGACCAGGTTTCAGGAGAATACCTGCTAAAAGATTAGAATTAGAAAAGGAAGAGTTTTCCCACAGCAAACGGAAGAAGATTCGCTCAATTACAGGGAAGTTAAATAAATTAGTTAATGCTTACAAATTTCTTACAGATGAGAAGTGTTATCTGTATCACTGCTAAGACCTGCTATGAATATGCTTTCTCTGTGCTGAACCAAATTACATTTCTTAAAACAGCAGCGTCCTGGGTCCTGGGAATATCCCAGAAGTAACATGGCTTCATTAATGAATTGCAGCATCAGATAGCACCACCTCCAAATTCAGTTGGCAGGGCTGTGAGTGACTTATGGAAAGGGAGAGAGAGGAGAATAAGGCAGAATTTTCTACTGTACCTCTCAGAGGTCTTTGCAGGTGACAGTTCACCAATGGAAGATTCTGGAAGGTTTGCTTTTTTATGAGGCAACTTCACCAGCACCTTTGCTTCAGAAAATTACAGGCTTAGGCTCACAGACAAACCTGAAAAAAAACAAATAGCCAACAACACTGAATATGAAGAAAATATTGGCAAACTTCCCTGTTAAAACAGTGAGGGTCAAAAACAGAAACTTTCAAGAATTTCACTTCTCCTACCATGACAAGGCAAATTTAATATTTTGGTGGAAGCTGTTTCCTCCAGGCATTTGATAATCATCATTTCAAAACTTACAAGACACATCATGGAATGAATACAATCTGAATGAAAGCTGTATTTAACAGTGTGGTAAAATAAGTCCACATCTGGCATGTTTAATTTATGTCATTTAATTGGACTATTCATATTGGAAAATTCCTCTGATATGGATTCCCTTGGACTTTATATACAAAATCCTAACTTGCAAATCCTCCAAACCTAGATTTCTCCCTCCCTTAGTTGCTGGTACAATCTGCTATCAACACTTCAGCATCCCTCTTTCTCTTTGCTTTCATGGTATGTACACACACACACATAAACAGTACACACACACACACACACACACACTACATAAAACAACATGTCAGGCAACCCTGCTGGATGACAGGATCGCTCTCCCTTTCTCATTCCATCTACTTTCTTGTTCTCCGTATCACAAATACGGGCCAACTCCTTGGGCAGGACGGGGGAACTCAAGAGAAGAATCTATATCCTTCTGGAGGATTCTAGCCACAGGGGTCCAAGAACAAAATTATTCTAAGAGTCTTCCAACTCTTTTTAGATAGTCCTCACTCTCCCTGAAACATCCAGCTCCTTTTCCATTCATAGCAGGCTCTTAAAGAATGCTCAGTAGTGAATGAATGAATGAAGAAATGAACAAAAGAACTGAGCATTTCTGAAACCAGGGAAAGAAGCATGGTGGAAAGAAGCCCATGGTATACTAGAAAGAATGGTGACCTAAAGCAAGAGAGCTAGCATCTAGCTCCTCTGCTGACTGACTACTTGATCTTGGTAGGCTGTCTCATTTCTTCACATGCCAAAGAGAAACAACACTTATCCTGATGTTTTTGTATGTCACCAATACAGCATCTTATGGTTTAGGGAACACTTGGGACTCACATTCTCTCACTTGACCCATCCAACTACCAACTGGTGGCAAAGGGTGCCCATCTTTTGGCCGGGAAGCAGACGTCCATAATGTTGACCATAAGGTCTTGAAATAGTAAATCAAGGTGCACGCCACGTCAGAAGTCTCAGCACCTTCTCCAAGTAGTAGAGTAATCCTGTTGTCCAACAGGAAGAGCCCAGCCACGATCAGTGACTTGCCACTGAGACAGTAATGGCAGAGCCTCTTTTCTCAAACCATGACGTCCTGCCCCAAATCCGCCTCACTTCCTGCTGTTTATACACCAGTACCGAATACCCATAACCTACGCACATTACGAAAGGCCCTCAGCATCTCATCAAATGAGGGCCGCCATCGAAATTCCTATAAATACTTTCTCGGCAGGGAGTAGTGAGTTCACAGGTACTCAGCGAATTGGATAAACAATATCAAGAGTCAGCACACTTTTTCTGTAAAGAACCAGACAGTAAATCTTTTAGGTCGCTACTGCTCTACATCGTAGCGCAAAAGCAGTGGCAAACAACCCATCCATTAATGGATGTGGCTGTGTTCCAATAAATCTTTATTTACAAAAACCAGCAATAGGTCAGACTTAGCCTGCAGGCCTGTGTTTGCCAAACTCTTGAGCTGCATCCACTTCCAGAAGCATCTTGATGTCAAAAACATTACTTTACAACTTCCTTTTAGAATCAGGGTCCTGACAACTCTTGAGGAACACATACATCCAGGCACCTTTGTCCCTCTTCTTCCAGTGTCCTCTGATAAACGCCAACTGGCAGAGAAACATGGAGCATTTATCCTTCAATTGCAGTTATTCTGAAAGACAAAGCAGGGGCAGAGATTAAAACCAGCCCCCCAGTCTTCGTGCCATATCCAGCATATCAAGTGCCCCTCTTCAAATTGTAGTGAGTTCACTGTCTACCTGATGGAGAAAATAGAACCATTCTTTCACTTAATAGTCTTTTAGTAAGGGTATGGGGCGGGGGGCAGGTTTACTAAAGGCCCTTATAAAATGCTGGCTGAAAGGAATAATGCTCCTTGGCACCACAGAATCTTTTTCATGTGAAGCTACATGATCACTTTTCATTTTGTTTCTCAAGCACCCCATGGCACCCATCCATGTATTAGGCTAATAACTGCATGAATCTAGTTAAAAGGAACCAAGCAATTATTTTAATTAGAAGAGAACAAAAGTAACACTCCTGGATTCTGTCTTAAGGGGCAAGAAGGAAGTAGTCAGGGTTCAAAAAGATCCCACAAAATATTTTTTGTGAAAGGAAAAATAATTAAGGCCAAATTTAGAATGTACTTGCAATAGATGGGCCAAATAAAATGAATGGCACCACTGTGCAACTAAAACCCATTCATATATAAGAGCCCCAGAAAGTCCATTTTTATGTGATACCATTTTGAGGGTATAGCCAATTTTACAAAGTGAAAGTGAATGTCTAGTAGAGACCTTAATGATCCTTGTGAATCTCTTACACAATTTCTTATAGAGTTTCTGTGTAAACTCTTTTATTAATAAGAGAAAAGAGGAAGGATATTGGTCAAATTACCTTTTAAGTAGGATTATTTTTCCTCATTTAAATTCTTGGACTAAAGTTGTTTCTCTGGAAAAAATCTATCTTTATAGAAAATCCTTGTCACTAATCCATTCTACAAAAAAATGAATCCCATCCTAAGGGTGTTAATCATTTGAACTGAATGCAGTCGTTCAGGAAGAGATGGCTATCTGCAGATTTTCCATAGTCTTCGCCTCCCTGTGTCCCTTCTGCTCATTGGGCCATTGCGTTCCACCTCGGGCTTCCAAAAAAAAGATGAAATGAATCCCAAACTAGTCAACTAGTAAGTGTTGCCCCTTCTGTTTAAGTCTATCCTTGTTTATTGAGCACCTGTTACCCTCCAGCACAGAGCAAGTTATAGATGGAGGAATGATTCAGATCTGAACCCAGCCTTCAAGAGGTTCACAGTCTAATCAGAGACAGAGGCATGGATGAAAAAGGAGACCGTGCCGCCCCAGCTGGGTGGGATCGAGGTTCTCTGGCCTGAGTTGATTGTGAAAGAATGGATGTTCCAGGAGAAAGACATGGATAGTCCATCCGCAGGAGAAAGATCAGCACACACAAAAGCTGGGCCACAAAGAACCCCAGGGGAAACACTGGGAACTGCAAGCAGGTAGAGCTGCTGGAGTGTGAGGCAAAGACCCAAGAGGAACAAGAGAGGTGCTGGAGAGGTAAACAAGAGCCAGGTCTTGGGAGAATTTGTGTGCCGTGTTCATGAGCCGGGACTGCCTCTCGTGCAGCAATGGAGAGCCCCCAGGCAGTTTCCAACAAGGACTGACATGGCCAGCTGCCCATTTTAGAGTGAGCACTTGGATGGCTGGGAAGGGGACGAAATGGACACTAGGTGTCCCACAAATTCCATAGCCCAAACAAGAGGTGATAAGGCCTTGAACTTGGACAGTAGCAAGTAGGAATGGAGAGATGGGGTAAGGTATGAGATAAACAGTATTGAAGGGGATTAAAGTTAAAAAAAAAACAACAACAACAAAAAAAAAAACCTTTGTGGAACAGTCACTGAAGAGTCAAAAGTGGATGAAATTGGCTTTGAAGTTTCTCAGTGGGGGAGCAGGTGTTTTATCTGAATGCTTGTCATAGGTCCCAAAAGCTTCTCATCTTACAGGTCCTCCTTTAAACCCAGGATGAGCCTTGATCATGGGTCCCAGGATTGAGATGCAATAACAAATTTCAGCCTTGGGCACATGAGCAGATTGCAAGTCCCGGAAGATAGTGTAACTTCCATTTTCATCCCCAAGCAACTCACACAAAAGCAGTCTCCTGCCACAAGTCTATGTTAAAATATACAGAAACCTGGAATGAAAGAAATTGTGACAAATACTTACTGTGCTGGTTACTCTTATGTGTCAACTTTACTGGGCTAAGGGATGCCCAGACCACTGTAAAACATTACTTCTGGATGGTCTGTGAGGGTATTTCTGGAAGAGATTTGCATTTGAATCAGTAGATGAGTAAAGAAGATCACCTTCACCAATGCATTGGGCATCATCCAATCCATCGAGGTCCTGAATAGAACAGAAAGGCAGAGGAAGGGTAAGTTTTCTCTCTGACTCAGTTGGGACATCCATCTTCTCCTGCCCTCAGGCATCAGAGCTTATGGGTCTTGGGCCTTCAGAATCCAATTAGAATTTACGTAATTCCTCCCCACGTGGACCCCTGTGACTCTCAGTTCTTCAGACTTGAGGTGAGTTACATGACCCGTTTTCCTGGGTCTCCAGCTTGCAGACAGCACATTGTAGGACTTCTGGCCTCCATAATTGTGCTAGTCAATTCCTATAATAAATAAATAAATACACACACATACACACATACACACATTTGGTTCTGCTTCTCTGGAGAACTTTTACTAATAATATACTCAGGACAAACTACATATATTTTAAGTAACTATATTAGATTAGACTTATTTATGTTTTAATTTTTTAAAGAATGTACAGAGGACACCTCTCCAACTCATTTTATGAGCTGGCTAAACCTTGATAACTCATCTGGCAAGGACATTACACTCAAGGAAAACTACAGGTAAGTTTCATGCATACACATTGTTGTAAAAATTATCAAAACATGCTGCAATACTTCAAATAAATAATACATCATAACCAAGTTGGGTTTAGTCCAGAAATGGAAGATTAGTTTAACATTCAAAAACCTGGTGTGCCTGGGTGGCTCAGTCAGTTAAGCATCTATCTTGAGCTCGGGTCATGATCCCAGGGTCCTGGAATTGAGCCCCGCATCAGGCTCCCTGTTCATCGAGGAATCCTCTTCCCCCTCTCCTCCCTGCTTGTGCTCTCTCTCTCTCTAATAAATAAATAAAATCTTTTTTTTTTAAAGATTTTATTTATTTATT